TCTTCTTCTTTTATCTCTTTATAGAGCATTTATCCTAATCAAATTATGAGATTATCCAAATCTAATCTATATATGGATTCTATTGATATGTCTAATCTTTTTAAGAGGATATGTGCTTTATACCCATTTTCAAACTCAGATTCGCCCCATGTGACATGACAAGTTAAAATGTCATGTGGCAACTTAATTAATCATATTAATTGTGGGTTTTAAGCTCATCAGCTATATGGCTCATGATCGAAGGGTGTTACATGGCCAACTTAGGTCTGATCTGTATGGTGTGGGACCCCATAATGACCTCACATAAGTCCACATGGGTTTGGCCCAACATCTGTGAAAAGGCTTAGCCGAATAACCCCTGTACACATCACTATGGGCTCAAAATGGGCCAAATTTTTACACTTAAATGATTAGCCATACTATGAAGATCCAAAGATAATGGACTTAAGTAAGATAAAGCACAACAAGTAATTAACTGACAGTTTAGGTTTCCATCAGAGAGAGTGTGTAAACCCTATCATTCACTTTGATTAACAAAGGGACCGATCCTATCACTATGATCACCCATTTAAGTGAATTCTCAGACTGTCCCGACATACCTTGGGCATAACTATAAAATGCTTCGGGTTTAGTGTTTCAACCAAACACACACTGCATATGCTTTTGGTCTAACCCTAGCAACTGATATTTGGCAGCACATCAATGCCATACTTGGTAGGATAAACTCTACAAGTCTATCAAAAAACTTAGAACATTATAAACTAACACGAGTCTCATAAGTGTCCAATTTAAGGGGTAATTTCACAGAAACAAACAATATCAACATAAAACAATAATATATTTTTATTCATTTATAATAAATGTATCTGTACATCAATCTAATTAGAGCTAATGGCATACATTGTCTAACAATTTCCACTTGCACTTAGGTCTAATTGGGTACAAGACTTAATCTCATACTGTCTACGTGTTTCTCAAACACTTTTTGTGTCAGTGGCTTAGTCATTGGGTCTGTCACATTATCCACTGATTTTACCTTTTGAATATTGATGTCCTTTCTACCAACAATCTCCCGTAAATCCAATGTTGTTACACAACAGTGGAATGGGTGATATGGTAGGATTCCAAATTACACAACGAATTTCTTCATCCATACTACTTATTAGGCAGTCTCATTTGCGGCAATGTACTCGGCCTCGTTCATGAAATCTGCTATAAACCATTATTTTTTGCTTTTTTAGCTAAATACACAGGACCCCATCGTGAAGACATATCCAAATGTAGACTTTCTATCATTTGTGTTAGACTGAAAGTCGGCATCAGTATACCCAACCATCTGTAGTGAACTACCATCGCATAAAAGACAACAGTGTTTAGTATTCCTTATGTATTTAGTATGTTTCTCGGAGCAGTCCAATGCTTCCAATGCTCCTGTCTTGTGTTAGATTGTATCTACTTACCACACTTATGACCTGAGCAATGTCTGGCTGAGTGTACAACATGACATACATGATGCTCCCTACGACTGTTACATAGGGAACTTCTCATGTCCTCTATCTTCTCATGGGTCTTATGTGACATGCCCTTGGAGAGAGTGACTCCATGCCTAAAATGATCAAATCCTCTTTTGAAGATCTACATGTTGTACCTTTTGATGATCTTGTCAATGTAAGTAGATTGGGATAATCCTATTATCATTTTCGATATATCTTTATAGAGTCGAAGTCCCGAGTTATAAGAGGCTTCTCTAAGATCTTTCATGGAGAATTATTGTGAAAACCATATCTTCACCGTAGTCAACATTCCTACATCATTCCCAATGAGTTAAATGTCGTATACATACAAAATCATGAATATAACTTTATCTCCCACTGTCTTTCTGTAAACACAAAGTTCATCCGGATTTTGTTCAAAATCAAACTGTTTGACTATTGAGTCAAATTGAACTTGCTTCAATCCATAAATTGATCTATTCAGTTTTCACACCATGTGTTCCCGTGGCAATAAAGCATTGCGGTTGTTGCATATAGATATTTTCAACAATATTTTCATTTAGGAGCGCAGTTTTGACATATATGTGTCATATTTCATAGTCATAGTGTACAGTTATAGCTAACAAAATCCTTATGGATTTGAGCATGGCCACTGGCAAAAAAGTCTTATCATAATTGGCTTTTTCTTTTCAAGTGTAGCATTTTGCTACAAGTCAAGTTTGATAGGTCTGAACTTTTCCATCAAGGCCCTTATTCCTTTTATAGATCCATTTGCAACCGATTGACATCTACACATTTGAATGAGTGTATATCCAACATATATTTCGTATAAGTCACGGGATCCTACTCACTGTTCGTAGCTTTAATAAAGTAACTTTCTTGATCATAGGCGCAACGAACTGTAGGTTTAGAAACCCAAGTAGATCTTCTAAGCTAGGTATTATTATATATAATAGGTGGGTCATCTCTCATTACTCCTGAGTTCTTTTCATAAAAAACTTCTTGATGAAGATTGTTCAGGATATAGTCATCATCTAATAAGTAGGCATTTCAACTAACAAACAATTTTTGTTCTTGTGGGTCATAGAAAATATACCCTACGAAGCTCTTGGGGTAGCCTACAAACAGGCAACGATTGGTTTTGGATTATGATTTGTTTGCACCTGTCATTTTGACGTGTGTTAGACAACACCATATTTTCAAGTGTCTTACACTTGGTTTTTGTTGATCCATAACTTTGTTGGAATCTGGTCTAGCACATATATTGCAATTTCTAATGCATGCCCCAAAAAATATATGGATAACTCTAAATGAACGATGAGTGATTGAACCATATCTAATAGAACCTGATTTTTTCTCTCTAACACATTGTTTAATTGATGTATAGTAGGGGAGACAATTGTGATATAATCTCATTGTCCTTTAAGTAGTCCCTTAATTCATCAGAGAGATATTACCTCATCGATCTGATTGAAGGATTTTGATTTGTTTCTCCAATTGTTTATCGACTTCTTGTCTAAAGTATTTGAATTTTTTAAAGGATTCAGAGTTATGTCACATTAGGTACCCGTAACCATACCGAGAATAATTATCGGTGAAAGCTATGACATAATAGTGTTGGTTTTGTGTCCTAACATTCATGGGACCACATACATCTGTATATATAAGGTAAAGTGTGCCTGTAAATCTTTCAGGCTTACCTGTAAATGGCCTTTTTGTCATATTGCCTTGGAAGTAAGGCTCACAAGTTAATTGATTTTGCACAATGATAACATCTAGAGGACAATCATTCACCAATATTATGATACATTCTATATTTATATGGCTAAGTCGGTAATGTCACAGACACGTGTGATTAACTGTATCACATGTTCTTTTATTGGGAATGTGCTCAAACACAGTTTCGGTTATATTTGTTTCTATAGAATGATGGATGACATAAAGACCACTATCAAGTTCTCCATAAGTAATGAATTTGTTATTCAATTTAATTGTAATATTATTATTAAATAAACTATAATAACCATCTTTATACAATTTAAAAACTAATATCAATTTTTTTATAAGTAAATATACATAAAGACAATCTTTTAATATAAAAATTCATTATCTAAAAATTAAATTTATTGTTCCTATAGTAGTAACTACAACAGTTGCAGTTGTCACAAAATAAAGCACCACCTAGTCATCAATCAACCTTCTGCTTTCTTTGAATTCCTGTAATGTCTTACATTCATGAGTGGAAGTCCAAAATCAATACACTATGATGCAGAGGTGACCAACACATTGGTCTCTATGACAAGAGATTCGAAATTATCTTTTTTTTTTTTACGGGATTATAGATATTGAGGACAATTCATTTTCTTGTGCCCAATCTACTTGCAGAAATGACATTCATCTGATGACTTGTCTATATTATTCTTTTTTGGTTTGCCTTAATTTTTTATGAGGTTTTTTCTTACCCTTGTTTTTCTTATTGTCAAACTTTCCACCTTCAACTAGCATGGCTACTTGTTTATATTTCATGATTAGTTTTTTGACTCTTTGTAACATATCGCTGAACTCTTGCAAATTAATTTTTAGCTTGTTCATGTCGTAGTTCATGACAAACTGATTGAAGAACGATGACAGAGAGTTCAGGACGACATCAGTGTTGACGTCATCATCAAGTTGATATTCAAGAGCCTCTAATTCATTTATATACCCTATCATCCACATGATATGGTCATGAACTGGTTGACTTTTGGTCATTCTCGTAGTCATCAATATTTTGTCAAACAAAATGATTATGCTCATCATACATGGTCTTAAGACTATCTACAATATTTTTGTAGATATCAATTTTGTCAAATTGTCTCTAAATAGAATTGTCCAAAGAGGCTAAGACATACCACTAGACAAAATAATTGTTCTATTTCCATTTATGATATTCCCTCATTCGTGCTTCAGAAGCCCTATCACCCGGATATTCAAGTGATAGAAATGCGAAAAATTACATAGCTGCATGGGATCAACTGCTTTAGTTGCATAGCGACACCACTTTTATGTAAATGATTACATATCTACCCATCCAAAGATATTTCCCTTTGACCTTTACTAGACAAGGTTCATTGTCACTTTAAGATAATATATAAACAATAAGAATAGAGTTAGTTAATTAATTAAACTATATGGTGAGTTTAAAAATTTATATACCTAATATGTTTTAAGTGGACCTTTAAGAAGTAAAGAATCTTTTACCTTACCTTGTGTTTGGTTTGAAGGAAAAAATAGGGAAAGCTAGGGAAATCTATATAAATTTTATATTAATTTTCCTATTTTTTCCTTCATTTCTCCACCTTTTCCAAACATAACATTAAGGTTATGTTTGGTTTAAAGGAAAATACAAGGAAAGGTAGAAAAACCTTTACAAACTTTATATAGATTTTTCTGTTTTTCCCTTCCTTTTCCTTCAAACCAAACATAGCCTAATCGTCTCAGAGTGAAATTGTCATAAGGAGGGAAAGTTCGAAGAGCATGTCTCAAACAGCCAAAGTTTCCCTGTGGGTACTGAGTAGGTGAGATACCGTTTCCCCCGGCCATGTAAAATCTCCAACTCCCAGTCCCCCACCAATAATATACCCGATTATTCTCTTCCCTGCCTAAGTCCTAACTACTATTTCCCTGCGTATTGTCTTCGATTTTTGTTTTCTCCATTTTTATCCTCTTCGATAATATACCCGATCCATGATGGCTTTGCAAAACCTAAACTTCCTCCCGAGTCCCATCTGTCCAGCCACTGAGAATCATGCCGTTACAATCTCATCCTCTTTATGCTCTTCTCCTAATGAGCTCCGGATTTATCGGGGGAGAAGTACACGGGTGCCATCACTTTCGCTGGTGGTATGGGCTTTAGACAAGAACAGCGGCAGCAGCCGCAGCAATAACGCTGGTAAGAAAGCGGCAGTACCCAACTCAAATTACGTGGTGCCTCTAGACAAGTCCCCTTGCTTTATGCGCCCACTCGAAGAGATTCTCAGAGACCTCAACAAGAGGGTCCCCAGCAAGATCATTGATCCCGATTCAAATTACATCCCCTGGTACGAAAACTACATACTGATTTCTTGAATAACAACACATTACCCCCCCCCTCTGCCCTTGTTCCGTTTTTCTAGAACTGTACCGTCAGTTTTTAATATTTTATGATAATCTCTCTTTGTCTAACCATTCCTATTGGACGTTGGCCATCCAATGTGAATTTTGTAATTTTTAGCGCATTTGTTCTTTTGTTTCTTCTTGTAGGTACCATGCTAACAGGATGTTGAGCTTCTATGCCCCAGGTGAGCACTTCTTCCTCAGCTGTTTCTTGTGCAAGAACTCATATTGCATGCATGTCTAGGCACTTTACCACATTTATGGTTACTGATTCGGTGATGATAATACATTGAACACTATCACTGTTGCCTCTTCCTCTCCCTCAATCGAACACTTATCACACTCCAGATATCTTAGAATGCAAAACCACACCTTTAGTCTTTAGATAACCTTGCATCTCTCTTATTCTTCCCTCTTCCCATCAGGAGATTAGGTTATTGGAAAAAAAGATTTAATCAATCACGATAAGTGAAAAATACCAAATAATGGCTTCGAATGCCCATGAACTATACGGGCATCCAGTCCCATTAAACTTCAATTCTATTTTTGATAGCCAAAACTTCAAAAGTATGCTAAAAGGTTCATGAAACCAGTGTTTTAAAAATGCAAAGGGGCTGCCTGAGGCACGAGGTGCAAAGCACAAAATTTTAAAAAACTCAAAAAAGAAAAAGAGTAAAAAATTCAAACTAAATTAAGAAAATATTAATTAAAAGGAAAACTTTCATTTTAAACTAAATATTTTAAGAAAGCTCATTAACGTATAAAACACATTCAAACCGAAAATGCAAACAATAAAATCAAACATAGCATATAAAACGTATTCGATATGTAAAACTTTTAAATTTCTTTATTTCTTTCCTAGTTGCACTACTTATCATGGATAATGTGATGTTAAACATGTTTCATTCCTAATCTATGAGCCGCCTTTTGTATTTAACTCCTTGAGGCAACACAAAAAAATTTATGTTAGGGTCTTTAATTCTTAACCCCTACAAAAAAGTGGTTTTGTAATTTAATGATCTTTTAGAACATATCTTCTATTAGGAAGAATGAAATGAACAATATTAGCAAATAGGAAGTTCTTGGAGCCAAGGGGCAAAACACACTAGGCACGTGTCTTTTCAACGGGGCTGCTGCGCTTGGGCCTAGGTGAGCCACAAACCCTAAAATGCACCTCACTTGTGTGCCTAGGCATGCCTTCTAAATTACTGATGCTCATTCAAAAGATAGCATGGTTACAGGTGCATGTCCATAGGCATTTATTATATTTGTTTCTAGTCCATCTAGTTCACTTATTCTATATACAGGTTTTCTGATTACCTCATTGAGACTTGAATTCCAATTTCCACAAGTTCAATGTATTAGAATCATGAAGATCAGTGAAAAGATGGCATCAGAATACGTGCACATCCATTGGCACTTATTATTGGTTTCATCCATCTAGTTAACTCGTTCTACCATAAGGATTTTATACTTGAGACTTAAGTTCCACTTGCCTCACTATTTGGGAGTCTGCTTCATGAACCCTGATTCACATTTACAGTTCTTTTTTTTGATAATATAAAAATTCATAAAAAAGAGAAAAAAATACAGTATACACGGAATATACAAGCTTTGTGGCTGTTAATTCTTGGTGACACCACAAAAAGGACTAAGAGAGCAATTCAACACTAGCAAAAGGAATGATGATTAAAGGACTTTTGTGCATAAAAAAAAGGTCAAACAAAGAATCCATATTTACAACTTCCCTTCATTGTTCTGGAATGAAAGCCAAACCACCTCCAACCTACTGGTGACAATTGTCACAAATATTCTCCAACAACCCTCCTTGAGCTCTTACATAGCACCAAGTCTCCACTAATCATATTCACTCCTTCCCAATAACTTCTCATCTAACCTCATTTTTCTTGTCCAAATGTTTGCCTATTCTTCTCTTTCCAAATTATCCGGCACACCATGAAAGTGATTGCACTCCTAATAATCTTCAACTGCTTATTACATCTAATTTTAGGCCATGAAGCAAATATCTCATTTTGTTGACCTGGAACTGTATCTCTGACTCTTAAAATTCCTGCAAAATATAAAGGAGAGGAAGCCTAGTCTAGACATGGTTCGCCCTCGAGGTCAGAGAGGGCAAAGAGTTCAAGAAATTGATCTTTTAAAAGCGTTTTCCCTATCCAAAGGTCTTCCTAGAAACATATTTTGTCATCCCCTGCCCACATCATAACAGATAGATTTAAAAAGAAGAGTATACCTCATGAATTGCTTTCCACTGAGAAGCTAAAGTTGAGTGATAATTAAATTTTGCATCCCAGTTATTACCCTCCAAACCATGAATACTTACTATTACTTTGTACCACGGCCTAGCTCTTTCAAATGGAAATCTCCACAGCCACTTACCCAACAAAGCAATGTTTCTAAAGACAATATTTCCAAATCTTAGGCCTCCTTTCTCCTTTGGTTTGCAAACCTGTTCCCACTTAACCAAATGATCTTCTCTTTCCTCTCCCAGTTCCCACAAGAAATCCCTCATATATTTCTCTAGTTGATTTGCAATCTTGGTCAGGATATGGAAGGTGGAAAGGAAGTAAATAGGTAGACTTGCTAAAGTAGTTCTAACCAAGGTAATTCTTCCTCCTAGAGAGATATAATTCCTTTACCAAAGAGATAGTTTTTTAGCAAACCTCTCTACCACTAGCTTCCAAAAACTATCAGATCTCGAATTTCCCCCAAGGGCAGACCTAGATAGGTTATAAGCCAAGCCCTAACTTCACAACACAGCACCTCCGCAAAGCTTTTTTTTTTTGGAAAAAGGTAAGGTAATTTATTCATCACAGAAAAACGATGAAAAATACAACAAAACCCAGGCCATAAAGGTTGCCTGGGCCCAAATCAAACTACCTCCGCAAAGCTTAGAAGTTCCCTTTCTTCCAAGTTGAGATTTCCAACAATTCCACTTTTTTTCCAATTTATTCTCAAATTTAAGATTTCCACAGTTTTCAATCAATGATTTCCCTAAACAGTCTTTGTGCATTTGCTTCCACAACCTTTCTACTCAGGACCTCTGTCACTAGGGTGAAAAGGAAGGGGGATAAAGGGTCCCCATGTCTTATACCTCTCTTAGCTGGAAAGAAGTCTTTTACTACCCCATTAATAAGAATTGAGTAATAGACTGAGTTGACACAACCATTTTAGCCATAGCCTCCATCTAGCTCCAAACCCTAGTTTCTCTAAGACTTTTAATAGAAACCTCCAATCTACTAGGTCATAGGCTTTTTCTACATCCAATTTACACACCAAGCCCTTCTCCTCGCCCTTTCTTTTCTCCACAACATATTCATTTGCCACTAGAATTTGGTCTAATATTTGTCTACCTTCCACAAAGCTCCTTGGAACAAAGAAATGACTGATGGTAGAACCTGCTTGAACCTTTCAGACAAAACCTTTGCAATGATCTTGTAAAGACCCCCAATCAGACTAATAGGTCTAAAATCCTTGAGAGAAAATGCCTCTTTCTTCTTCAGAATCAATGAGATGAAAGTTGCATTTGCTTCAAAGGGGATCTGCCCCTTTACAAAGAATTCATCAAAGACCTCCAGGATCTTAACCTTCATAAAATCCCAACATTCTCGGTAAAAAGCCATAGAGAAACCATCCGGACCAGGGGCTTTAGACCTATCCAAAGAAAAGATTGCTTCCTTCATTTCTTCCATTGAAAATCTTCTTTCCAATAATTGGGACTGATCCTTAGATATTATGTTCCAATCCAATTCCGACAAGCTTAATCTAGGGCCAACAGGTTCAGAGAAAATAAATTTAAAATGATTTACAAAAATCCTTACAACCTCCCAATATTCTCTTATCTCTTGTCCATTCACTACCACACTATGAATGGTATTCTTCTTTTTTTCCATTTGCTATTGAATGAAAGAATTTAGTGTTACCATCTCCTTCTGTAATCCATTTGCTCCTTTATTTCTATTTCCAAAATATCTCCTCTTTCCTTAGAATTTCCTTAAGCTTCACCTTTTGATTCCATCTTTCCTTCCTTTCCTCTTCTGACAACATTCTAAGAGACTCTTTCTGATCTAGCTCTTCAATCCTAGAGGAGATTGACTCTTTGAGCTCATCAACTCTTCCAAAATGCTCTTTATTCCACCAACTTTTTGCAAAGCTTTCTGGTTTTCTTTCTCCCTAAAGGCCTGGACTCTTCCCACCAACTTTTTAACCTTTCCATAAACAAAGAATCCTCAAACCACATATTTTCAAAACAAAAAGGTGAAGGACCTCCAAAAGGGGCTTCTTTTCCAGTATAAAGAGGGCAATGGTAATAAAGCCGTGGTTTGGTTTATTTATTTCTCCCGAGAACCTGATCACATTGAAATCTCCCCCGAGACACCAAGGGCTTGCCTATAGCCCTCTGATAGCAGACAACTCCTCCAAGAAAAGAGCTTTGTTAGTGCCCATTCTCTCCCATTCACAAAGCTTTTAATTTTCATAGAAACTGAGAATTTCCCAATTAATTCCTATAAACACTCCAACTCATTTTTCCAAATTGTTAGAATCCCCCCCGGAGGCTCCCCAAGAGGATGCCAATGTCCATCTAAGACCCCTGGTTCTCCAGGTACTTCTGATTGAATTTCTGTCTATCTCTGCTAATTTAGTCTCCTAAATCAGAACTATATTTGGTCTTTCTTTCCTCGAGACATTTCTTATTAATCTTCTCTTCTTTCCACTTCCTAAACCTCTCACATTCCAGCTCAATATCTTCATTTCAACAATCTGAAGGTCCCAGTAAAACTGCCTGTACTCAATCTCCCCTTTTTTTCTATTCCCCTCCTCATAACTTATACCAAACTTGAGCTTTTTAAATTCACACTTCTTTCTCTTTCTTTGTTTCGTTTTCTTCCTCAAGTAGGCTTTTGTTTCCTCCTTTTTTTCTTTCCTCAACTCCATTGTCTTTCCCCTCACTTCTTCCTCCTTTGGCTAATGGAGCCACTTCCTCCAGGGTAGGTTGCTTTTGTTGATAAGGAACTTGTTCACAGGGTTTTAGATCTTCTATCCCAATTCCCTCAAAAGTCTTCACTAAGTCCAAGGCTGAAGGTTTTCTAGGATTAAGTTTATGATTCTACCCCTCTTCCTCAATATCCCTATCTGAGAGATCATTGGCGCCAAGGCTAATGGC